CCCTGGGATCATGACCTGAGCCGAAGGCAGACGCTTAACGACTGAGCCACCCAGGCGCCCTGGAAAATTTTTTAATAGTAAAATACAGTTAGTTTTAAGTAAATTTTAATACTGGCATTGTTATTTTGAAATAAACACACATATTATAGATAAAGCACATGAGTAATTATGCTAATGCCATTAAGAGTCAAGATTTTCAGCATAAGAGAAAAAAGGATACAAATAGAAAACTGAGAAAATTAAGTAAAAGCCCTGTAATGTTTAATCTGAATTGGATCTACCAGCAAAAACCCATGATGAGAACTGGCCAATCCTACCAAATATTTAAGGAAGAAATAACTCCACACAAAGTTTTCCCAAAAATTGAAGAGAAGTGTCCACTTTCCAACTCATTCTATGAGGCCAGAATTACCCTGATTCCAAAACCAGACAAAGACGTTATAAGAAAATTACCAATATCCCTGATAAACAAAACGAGAGGGCTTAAGCCAGTGGACTTCAACACTTACTGTAAACCTACAGGACTCTAGACAGTGTGTTACTGGAATACAGACAGACAAACAGATCAATGGAATAGAGTCCAGAAATAGACCTACATATACATACAGAAGTGATCTTTGACAAAGAAGCAAAAGTAAACTCTAACTACATATCCTTATAAAATACACATCTAAACATAAGGATACTCAAAGCTTGAAAGAAAAAGGCTGGGGAAAAATTTACTGTGCAAAAACTAATCAAAAGAAATCTTGTACAGCTATATTAATAGTAAATAAGTATACATTAAGGCAAAAAGCACTGCTAGAGACCAAGAGGGACCCTTCATAATAAAAAGTTCAATTTTCCAGACAGATACACCAATTCTGAATTTGTATATGTCAAATAACAGTCTAGAAATAAAGTAAAAACTAGGAGTACTATAAAGACAAATCTATAATCATGGCGGGAAATTACTAACGCACTTCTTTCAGTAACTGATATAACAATAATGTACTAATTATAATCAATAAAGTAAGGAGAATTTGAACAACATATCTAAGAAACGTGACTAAATTGACACATGCAGAACACAATACTCCAATGCTGCGGAACGCACGTTCTTGGCAGGTGTATACACCATATAAAAAACAAACACAAGGAGTCACAAAAGAAGTCTCAACAACTTTCAAATGATTCCACTCATAATGAGAATTAAAAACTATATAGACATGGATCAGAGAGGAAACCACAAAGAGAAACTGAAAAATAATGTGAACCTAATGATAATGAAAGTACCTATGAGAACTTGCAGCATACAGCCAAAGTGATACGCAGAATGAATTTAGGACATTAAAACAGGTATGTCAGAGGGGAAAGGCTGAAAACCAAAGAGCCAAGCATTCATCTTAGAAAATTATTAAAAGAACAAATAAAAAACAAAGGATAAAGAAGTGAATGAGAAAGGTAAAAGCAAAAATTAATGAAGTGGAAAACAAATATACAATAGAGAAGATCAAAAAGCCAAAATCTGGTTCTTTGCAAAGACCAGTAAAATTGATAAACCACTAGAAAGACTGATCAAGGAAAAAATGAGAGAGAAAACAATTTAAGGAATGTGGCAGGAATATTTAACTTGGATAATAAGAGAATATTATCAATAGCATAATGACAGTAAGTTTGGAGATTTAGATAAACTATTTTTTAAGATTTATTTGAGAGAGAAGTGAAAGAGAGAATGAGAGAGGGGAGGGGTAGAGGGAGAGGAAGAGAGAATCTCAAGCAGACTCCCCGCTGAATGCAGAGCCCAACGTGGGGCTCCATGTCACAACCCTGAGATCACCACCTGAACCGAAACCAAGAGTCGGACACTTAACTGTGCCACCGAGGCGCCCACCCCTAGATAAAGTTTTTAAATTCCCGTTATTTCTTCAAAGAAGACATCCCGGGCGCCTGGGTGGCTCAGTTGGTTAAGTGACTGCCTTCGGCTCAGGTCATGATCCTGGAGTC